TATTTTTAGAAGTTTCATGCTACGGTAGAGAGAGAGACCAGGAAGCTTTCAAAGTGTTTCCGCGTGGATAATGGAGGCGAGTACACATCCAAAGAGTTTAAAGACTACTGTTCAAGACACGGTATATGGCATGAAAGGTCTATACTATGTAGTCCACAGCACACTGATGTGGCAGAGATGATGAATCGTACCATCATCATACCATCACAGAGAGTGAGAAGCATGCTAAAGATGGCGAAACTTCCCAAGGCATTCTGAGGAGAGATAGTTCACATGGCCTGCTACTTGATCAATCGATCTCCGTCAGCTCTACTTTATCCTTTGATATTTCAGAAAGAGTATGGACAAAGAAGAACGTCTCATACCTCATCTAAAGGTATTTGGGGTGCAAGGTATTTGCATATGTTCCTAAGAAGCATAGATCGAAGCTTGATAACAAGGCGATTTCATGCATCTTTATCTGTTATGGAGATAAAGAATCTAAGTACAGGCTACAAGATCTTATAAAGAGGAGAGTTATCAGAAGCAGAGTTTTGGTATTTCATGGAGACCAAATAATTAATGAGTAGTCAAATGCTGAGGTTGATGGAGATTCCAACCCCATGACAGTTCTTTTCCCGATAGAAGATGTCACAGCAAGGGGAGACACAGATGATTATGTACAGGACATGTCAGAGATGGACAACAATGATGATTCTGTAAGTAACAATGATGATGGAGAAGCTGGTAAAGAAGATCTAGCTCCTCAGGAAGATGCAGGACCTCAACTTCTAAGGTCCTAAGGAGTTTGTTAATCATCTACAAGGTACCCCTCTACAGAATAGTTACTAATGATGGAGAGCCTGAGAGTTTTCAGGCTCAATCTTATAGGCACAAAAACCATTGGATCCAAGTGATACAAGATGAGATAAATTCCTTACATAAGAATGATTCTTATGAGTTGGTGAGACTTTGTAAAGGCAAAAGAGCATTATAAAACAAGTAAACTGAAAAAAGACGGAGAAAAGACGTTGAAGTGCAAAGCAAGATTGGTCGTTAAAGGCTTTCGATAGAAGAAATGAGTTAATTTTGACGAGATTTTTTTTCAGTTGTGACGATAACGTCTATCAGGACAATCCTGAGTCTAGCAGCAAGCCAAGATCAGTGTTATTAATGTGTGAGGCGCAATACGAGGCGCAAAGCATCTTTACGCGCACATACACAAGGCGCAACACGATGCGCACACCTGAGTGATGCGAGGTACACACCTCCCACATAATTTTTCAAAATAAATAATCAAGCACGAAAGAACATGTTTTTAGAATTCACATGAAAAATATCATGATAAATAATATCTTACTATAAAATCACAATATAATGCCTAAATTTCTAATGCTAACACCCAACATAGTAGTAAAATTCATAAATTTTCAAATCAAATGTTAAATTAAGACTAATATCCAAACATATCCAAGCAAAGGAATGAAGGATTAATAATGGTCCTCAATTAAAGACTACTAAAAAGGCCTAATGGATTTATTTGTTTTTTAGGATATGGAATATCAAGTATAAAGACTCGATTGAAATGTTAACAAACAAAACTATATGAGGATATGTACTACATGCACCCTGTACAAAGTAAAGATGTACGCGAGGCGTAAAAGGCGTTGTTGCATCAGAAGTGGGGCGTTTCGCCACCGCCCCACATCGTAAGGCGCATGAGGCGTAGTGAGACGCGCGCTTTTGAAAACACTGGCCAAGATCTTGAGTTAGAGCAACTTGATGTGAAAACTGTATTCCTTCATAGTGACTTGGAGGAAGAAATTTACATAGTGCAATCAGAGGATTCAAAAAAGGAAAAGAGGGTTGCAAGCTAAAGAAGAGCCTTTACAGGCTCAATCAGGCACCACGCTAGTGGTACAATAAGTTTTACTCATTTATGATAGATCATGTGTACACGTATACAATGGCAAATTCGCATGTCTATATCCGAAAGATCTCTGAAGGTAACTTCATCATTCTTTTACTTTATGTTGACGATATGCTCATAGTTGGATAGGATGCAAAGATAATTCGAGCGTTGAAGAAGGAATTATCCAAGTCTTTTGACATGAAGAACTTGGGGTCAGCACGCTAGATACTAGGCATGTAAAGTGTTCGAGATAGTAAAGTAAAGAAGTTATGGCTATCTCAAGAGAAGTATATTGAACAGGTGCTGGAATGATTCAACATGAAAGGTGCTAAGCCTGTTAACACCTCTCGCAAATCACTTTAAACTCAACAAGAGAGATTGTCCAATTACATAAGAAGCAAAGAAAGTGATGGCGGACGTTCTATACTCCTCAACGATTGGGAGTCTGATGTATGCTATGGTATGCACACGGCCAGACATTGCTCACGCAGTTGGAGTAGTGAGTAGATATATGTCTAACCCTGAAAGACAACATTGGAAAGCAGCGAAGTGCATTCTCATATATTTGAAGGGCAATTCAAGATTGTGCTTGACATTTGGCAGTTCTAAACTAACTCTAAAAGGTTATACAGATGCAGATATGACAGGTGATCTCGATAACAGAAAATCTACATATGGATATTTATGTACTTTTGCAGGGGGCGTCATATCCTGCCAGTTCAAACTACAAAAATGTATTGTTTTATTCACGACGGAAGCAGAGTATATTACAACTGCAGAAGCAAGTAAAAAATACTATGGATGAAAAGATTTCTCCAGGAACTAGGTTTGAAGCAGGATAAGTATATTGTGCATTATGACAGTCAGAGCGCTATTGATCTTAGCAAGAGCAGTATGTATCATTCTCGAATAAAGCATATTGATGTGAGATACCACTAGTTACGAGCTATAACGGAAGAGAAGCAGATGCTACTGTAGAAGATCCAATACCGACAGGAATCCTACCGATATGATGACGAAGCTCATCCCTAGGGATAAGTTTGACATTTGCGTAAAGCTAGCAGGGATGAACCTCTCCAAATAATTGGAAACGGGAGAATTGTTGTATAGGTCCCGCCTCATTTGGAGGTCACATAATAATAAATGTGTGACGGTGGAATATGCATGCAAGTTTTTGGTGAAACACATTGTTGATACTTGTGTCAACAATTGTGAGATACAAAGTGAGCTATTACATGGTGTTGTAGCTCACCTTATTTTGAAGTGTGTTGTCTCATTCACATGAAATGCTCTTGCCTCTAAAGGAGATGCGTTTCGTCAGTTCAAGGAAAGACAAGCAGAGCAACTCAAGTCACAAAGAATTTGGGTAGAGAACTTGTTGGGGGGTTGGGGGGAGGAAAGAGAGTCTTTTGTATTCCTTTTCTAAAGTGTAGAAGAAGTCGTCTTTATTTTCCTATTTGTTGTACCATTAGACAAGTGTCTAAGGAGAAAACATTCTATACTCATTGTATTCATAGTGGAAGATTTTTCTGGACTAAGTCCTGTAGTTTTTACCTTCAGTTGAAGGGTTTTCACGTTAAAATTATTGGTGTCCTGTTGATTATCTCTTGTGGTCAATTTATTGTTATTTGGCTTATTAATCCATCTGGTTGTAGGGAAGGGGGAAGGGGAAAAAGTCAATCAATCAACCCTGTTTTTCCTAACTCCAAATGGGCAAGTAGTATTACTATATGATAGGATAAGCAAGTAAGTGTATCAATTTAGAGTGGTAGCTACAACTGAGGATAAGAGGATAAAATTGCTTGAGATGGTTTGAAGATTTGCGACAAAGACCCACTAATGGGCTTGTTAGGAGCATTAGGATAAAGTTGAAGGAGGATAGCGTAGGAGAATGTGACTTCATCCAATTTCAACGTGGTATGCTGAACCTTATCATCTGTATGTAAAATGGAGGGGGGCAAAAGGAATGTGTAGATGATTGCATGATATTTGGATAAATAGATGTTCTGTTGTTCTCTCACTTAAAAATCAAATAGCCTGTAAACAATAAAAAACTGTAAACAATAAAAAACTTCTCGTTCTAAATTAAACTTCCCTTTTAGTTTCCCTCATACATGCATAAAAACAAAATTCTTTTTTTGACTAATCGCTATATCTAACTATATATCAGTTATATAGCCTCATTCCTTTATTGATGATTTGTTACGTTAATCGCTATATCTAACTATATATCAGTTATTAGCCTCATTCCTTTATTGATGATTTGTTATGTTCCAGGTACCCATAGCCGCTGCTGTTTATTTTGAGGACATGTATGTTAATTTCAATATTGCGATGGAAACGGCTTCTGAGATTGCAGGGATCAGGTTATGGGTAACTAATGAATACATGCATTCTGGACTTCGTGACAGTGGATCTCAGGTGTTTGAACAGTTGATGGGGATGCTACAAGGGAAGAAGCCTTGGTTTTGATTTTGCGGAAGCAGCTTATAATTTCACTAGTCCATTTGTGGTGCTTTTTTTTCCTTTGGTACCACGAAAGGTTTTGAAATTTGGCATTTCATGTACTACAAATCAAATCATCTGTGTTCTAAGCTCAGTTTTAGCTTGATCTAATAAAAAAATCAGATATGATGTGGTTAAACCGTCCTTGGAGAAAGTGTTTTGGACCTGGGATGAATAATCATGACTACATGTAGCAATAAAGCCAGCGTTGATTATTTTTTGTCATTGCTGCTTACAGAAATCAAGCTCTTTCTGTTTCTTTTTGACAATCATGTTCATTTGTGTTTTATAAGTAGTTAAGCTTCATCTTTAGCAATGGTTAGACTCCAATGTGGAACCAAAACAAGTTGAACTACCAAACAATTCAAGTGCTGCAGAGAATTAAGGGAAGCCTCCTTGCTAAATTCACAAAATCTCCGCAGATGAATCTTTTCGTGGATAAATTACTACCCCTCATTCTCATCACACAATCCAGATCTACCCAAATCAGCAATGAAACTAACAAGTTGAATCTTTAGAACCATGTTTCATGTTATCATCACAGAACGAGATGCCCACAATCCTGAATCTTACAGGCAGAAATCTACAGTTAGCGAACATCCACTGAACAAGATTACATAATAAATTAGCATCAACCAAAAATTTCCTATAGGCTTAATATACAACACACCATAATTCAGGATAGGATCGAGATCTTACCAAATGCCAAAGTATGGCAAAGTTGCACATCAAGTTCTCACAGTTCTCACATGCATCTGAGAACTTGAAAAATATGCAAGCAATATAATACTCAAGAAAGGTACAAATAAATATACTATGAGATAAGAGTTGCAGACAGACAGATGGCAAATACTTAAAAACGTATTGACAAAAAGAGCCAGGTTCTTTAGCCTCCATAATCCCTGATTCAGTGCTCGAGCCTCAACAGTTGCAGGTGTTTCGCTATCCATTCGATAAAATCCTCTACAAAACCAGTGGAAGTTTATTCAAACAAATATATATCCAACCATCAAACACTCAAGTGAAAAATTAGCATCAGAAGATGTTGGGTTACAAACCCCACAATATTGATGCTACATGCTAGGCACTTACTATCTCTATTCAAGAAAGCAATCAATTGAAATAATGTGTGCCCTGAAATGGTGTCCCCTTTAGTGTGTGCGAACAAAACAATATCTATCTTTGAAATCTACATCTCCTATATGAACCAATTGTATTCACAAAAGATTAATTTTTACTAAATGAGAGAGGAATGAGAGTATGACAATCACACAATAGAGACTAATTGCTTGTCAGTGGAAAAAAGTTTGCCTTGTTTCTTAATAAGATATAAGTAGAAAGTGCAAGGAAAAAAAGATCGCGTATTAGTAGTATAATACATTTGTAGTAACTACTAATATCACCGTCCCTCTTTGCAATAATTTCGTTTGTTATTCAAGAGTTTATAGGCTACCTTCTAAGTTTCATCCGCGACTACCTTATTTTTGATGAAGTAATTCTTGAAAGTGAAACATTTCTCTCCCTGCACAGAGAATTTGCAATGGACCAGCTCCTCTCTCAATTTAACCAATGATGTGTAAACGAAATATATATATCCCAAACCATAATGAAAGCATCAAGCAAACACAAAAACTAATTTGCAGAAGAATCAACATTCAGTGAAGAAAAAACCTAAATGGAATAGTGACAACGAAAAAAGATGAAACCATAACAGAAGTTGAAACGTCTAATGCAACTATATATAGTACTACAGTACAAAAGTATACAACAATTTATTACTAAACTTTGGTCAGCAAGTGGAAGAAAAATAATTCATAAGATTGTCAGCCTTACCTAGCTCATGAAATAGAATTACTTAAACTCAAAGGTTGGGACTGATGGTGCATCAAAACTCTCCAATGTCTTTTCACCACCATCACTGCTACTCTTCACATCCTCCTTCTTTCCAAAAAGCCCTCCAAGCCAAGAAGAAGAACCAGTTGATTCCTTGTCTGTTGGATTTGTTTGTGTCCGATTTTGGTAACTTAAAGGAATACCACTACCTCCAACTTCTGCCTGAGGTACATTTGGTGGCATCACCATTCCTGGGTCCTCCATTGGCGGGAAGTTCTGCGGATTACTCAAAACTCTATTGAGCATAATTCCAGCTCCCTCAATTAGGGCAAGGAGGACCCCACCAAAAGCTGCTGACCTGAAAGATTACAAATTGGTGAAATAAAAGTTAAATGCAGCTTGACCCGTAGTTTAAAAAATATGGCAAAATTTGGATAAAGTGTGACAATAACACGTCAATAGTAGAAATGTTACTCATAGTTCTAGATTATATTATACTAGCTTGATGCTCTAGTAGCAACTGAAGAATTCAAATTTAGAAATCTTCGATTTTACCATCATTCATGTTTTAATCTGGTAAAAGACCATTAGATGACCCAAGATCAATTCAAATAGTAAAACTACTAAGTGCCAAATTGAACTGGAGAAATAGAATATGTGAAACTGAAAGAATAAATTCTATGATAATCTACAGATCGGACAGTTAATGGTGGCTGAGACTGAAAGATTTGATGATAACTTATGGAATCCTAAAATCCCAAAATCATGGCATGCAGTATTTCTACTGACAATTAAACTGCCAAACTGCAAGAGCACATCTTTCAATCAGCAAGCTGCTTTCGTGCATTCCGAACTTAAAATGAATTACTCCCAGTATACGAATTAGAGAAAGGGGCATTTAGGGCATGTTTGTCAACTGGTCAACATGGCTTATAAGCCACGAAAATATGTTTGTATTGGTCTATAAGCCAAAAAAATTAAGTTACCCCAACCCAGCTTAATTTTTGGGTGGCTTATAAGCTGGGTTGTTTGACCAAGTGACAAACTTACCCCCTCAATCTTTAACATAATTCCAAAAACGTTTGTCCTTTTTGGTCATTTTAACGATAATGATAGACTATAAGCCACTTTTTACCAAACACTCTCCTATTCAATGTAGCTTATAATCCATTTATTTTACCAAACACTCTGGCTTGTAATCTACTTGCCTTATAATTCTTTTTTGAATAATAAGCCAAATGGATTATAAGCCAAGTTCCCAAACATGCCCTTAAACAAAAACAACCAACAGATGTCAATGATGGACAGGAAATTCTTTCTGGAACCAACCCAATCATGAGAACAGTGAAACCCCGAAAATCCTATGATCATGGTGTCCTCAATGACTGAATTAAATAAAGGGAAAATTATGCATAATCCAACTGAGGTCTGCAAAAACAACAAAAATAACCCCCCTAAGGTTTCAAAACTAACACTTTCACCCCCTAATCTCTATCATTGTTTTTTCTACCAAACCAAGTCACATGAGTAACATGATCCTTAACAAACAAAATTACCCTTATTTAAAGTAAGAAACATTGTCTTATTTTTTTTCTCGGCTCAAAACAAGATTGGTTGCGATGTATATGTTAATCCCATTGAAAACTCCTTTGAGGTCCTACACTATGAGCAAGCAACAAGTTAATATGTAAGTAGCTAACAAAATTAGCAATTATTTATAAAGAATGTTATCATTAGTTGATTGACCTGACTTTTTCTTTAAGGTTCTATTACATTTTTATCAGTTCAGTTAATGTTCTTTCTTTGCTTATTTGTTTTCATCCATAACTTGCCAAATCTTAATCGATATGGAAGCAAAATCACAAAAAAAAAATGTTGCTTTTTGAAATAGATCATAGACGAGGGATTGTAGCGAAGGGCTCGTCAGTTTCAGTGAGGGTATAGGCGACTGAGGTTTGAGGGCTCGGCTTCCCTGTAGATGTTCATCTCCTGAAATTAATGTCTCCAATCTTACTTCTTAATTAATTGTTTCCTTGCTTAATAGGCTCCTCGCAATTTTTTGAGTAAAGCATTGCCTGCTTCATTCTCTATGCTAGGCTGACAGTGAAAAACCAAAAGAAAATTCTTCGTACTCTGTGATAGAATCATCTCTCAATACACACTCTTCATTTGTGCAAGTTTTAACATTTTGTTTGTAATTGTAACCTTCTTATTTCTCAATTACCTTGTTCTCCATTTTTTTCCCAAAATGACAGTAATA